GATGGTTCTGCTTTTTGTATTTTCACTGTATATAGTTCATGCCATCATTGCATTATTTATAACAGTGTTGCCCTTAGATCTGTTTAGCTGTGTTAATTATATGTCTATTTTTCAATCAAATGGTATATACGTAGTTATGCCTCAGAGGGGAATCAAGAAGAGCCAGCACTTGAATCTGAGGCAAGATACATGTTAGTTCCTAGCCCTATACATAAATTATACAGACAACCTTTTCAAAGTAGAATCTGTGAAACTAAAATAATGACATAATAACTTAGCAACAGTCACAGTTTTGTAATTTCCTGGCTCTCTTGACGTGGGCAGTATTTGTACAAAACTACTCTTCTAACTGTGGGTCATCCCCCGCTTGGACTCTGTTAGATCTGCTTTAGGATGATGGTCAGGTTACCTGGCCTTCTCTGGGCCACTGGATGAGAGCATCTCTTGTAGGTCAAGCCACTGTTTATATAGGTCTGTCTGTCCTATATACCCTCTCACACTCTCACTCCTTCCCCTAGAAATACTCCTGGCCTACTCTTTTCTGTGAGATAAAAGCACTTGTGTCTACCAGTGCCCTAAGAAAGGTTGCATATGTATTTTCTGAATTCAACAATTTAATTAACTGAAACTTCTAAAAAGGTCTTATTAATGTTTGGATTTAAAATTTTGATGCTTTAGACTTCTGTCTCCTCTTGCAAGATAGGAAGTTAGAAACTGGTTTAGAGTCAGAATGAACATGGAATTCCAACTTGGTTTTGGAAAATGCCTTGCAAGACTTGTCAAAGCATGCGATGAAGGGAAATGTCCATAAATGGCTTATATGAGGTACCCAGTAAACATTATCCCCCTAAGCACAGTGATGGTCTAAGAGTGTGGCAGAAATCATTAAGTAGAGAACAGTTATTCTGGATGTATTTTCCTATTCAAGCAGTAAAGGTTATGTGGTAAAGAAAATACACAAATTGGATACAGGGGTGGGTTTTCAATACAGACATTCTATGAGTTTATCGTTTTTCTTTATACCCTTTGGCACACCTAGGTTTCTAGGTTATATATACTTTACTCTCTATATAACAGTTCTTAATTAAAACAGTTCCCTCTTTCCACAGAACTGACTAGAACTACAAAACATGCTTTTCTTTTATTTAGGAATTTATAACATTAAATATGGTTCCTATCACATTTTATAGGTTTCCTATTCCTTTCTTAAAATAAGTATCAAAATGATCTGATGTCCTTCCATACAAAAATTCTGGAAGCAAAATTTAATCCCAGAAGAGATATTTATAAATGGTTTCTATTTACTCAACTTGGCCCCTTTTTCTCTACCTCCTGCTTTGTGGTTGCTACACTCTCTCCAATGATGCCTTTAAACACTGGCTGCTCCCTTACCCACAATTTTCAACTTCATTTCCCTTAGTTCGCTCTGCTTCCGCTGAACTTTTGTACATACTCATCTGGAAAGAAGGCTGGGGTTGAACAAGTGCTAGGCCTTATTTGTTGTAAAATGGTATTACTGGTATGAGGTGAGAATTCAACTCATCTGAAATGTTCACAAAGAAAATACAGGCTGAAAGCTGTCAGTCTTGATCGTTCCCGCCCTTTTTCATCCTTACCCAATCCAGGCAGGAAAGACAGAGAAGGGAAAAGGGGCTAAGTACCGCCCTACCCCCACCACCTTAAAGGAGCTGTCCTGAAAGCCTCACTCAAAGACTCCCATGGCATCATTGCTATCCCTAAGAGTACGGGGGGCTGGGCAAACACATGGTAACCTGAATGAAATACAGGTTCGGGTAAGCATGTCTGAGTCTGAGGTGCTTTTGACATCTCTATAGAGATGCTGAGTAGTCACATCACACACACAGGGAGTAGTCAGGTTTATAGATGTACATTCGTGAGCTGTTACTGTAAAACCAATTTATTGAAGTCATGGGCATTTTTGAGATTGGCCAGGAAAAAGAGTAATATAAAGGAAAAAAAGGCCCTTGAATAATGTGAGGGGAAAAAAAGGACCTCCATCATTTAGTAATGTCTGTGAAGAAGAGGATCCTGTAAAATTGTGAGGAGCAAATATGATGAGTCTGAAATGTTTCTGAGATAGCCAGTTGAACTGATAGCGGCAGTTGAATTTAACAGATGATTCTCTCCTACTGTCCCCACATCCATACTTGATTAAAAAAACATTTTATTTTGTGTACTATATGACTAAACAAATGCTATTTGGGTACTATGTTTTCTTGTAACCTGATATAATAATAATTAATTGCCTTTTATTAATTAGTTACTTTAATTATTTCTATATATAATACTTTTATTTACAACAGAATAGTATTTCTTAACTCTGGAACCTCAAATAGGTTATTTTCTATTTCCTAAATTTAATGATTATAATCAGGGTGAGATAAAGGATTTACATAATTATTTCAGAGCCCATTATTGGTCTATAGCAGAAAAATGAATGACAAATCTATGGTTTAGTGGGTTCTCATATCACCTATGTATGTAGGGATTTCAAACTTGATAGGAATCTTATTTGCAACAGAAAGGCAATAATGCAATGTTAGGCAGCTTAATATGTTTCCTTTTCTATGGTTAATTCCAGTAGTTCTTTTAACAGGTTAAGTGTGGACAGATGCTGTGTTTGTGGGTCTACAGGCTTTTTACTCCAATAGTTATAACAGCAGATTTTCAGACACATACAGACTAGCCTTAGATACTATGTTCTGTTCCAGTAGTAGAGCTCTTTCTGAAGTTTACTAAGAGTTGCTTAATTCCAAGGTTCTGAAGACAGGGACTGAAGAATCAAAACTGACTCTCTTATTACTGTTTTATCTATTATCCAAAGAGACCTTTCTTCCCAAAGGACAGGATTATGTTAGTGTTTTTCTTATAGCCCTGATCACCCCATCTGAGGCATAATACCACATAAAATCCATGCTATAAACTTGGTGTTCTTTCACCTGTTCAGATCTGTAGGTAGAGCTATACTGCTGGGTCTTGTAAGTCATATTAAGGATTTTGTTCTTTATTCTAAGAGCAATGGAAGCCATCAATAGGTTTGAAGCAAGGAAAGTAACATGGTCAGATTTAGGTTTTGAAAAGAGCATTATGGTGGAATAAATGGAGAACAGATTTGAAAAAACTAGAAAATAAGGAAACCAGAATAAAGATTAGTGTAGTCATCCAAGAGAGAGGGGGTAGTACTTGAAAAGAGGGTGCCAACAAGGCCCATGGAGACAAGTGGATGGTTTCAGTGTGAGCAGAGATTAAGCCAACAGGAAATGGTGATGGTGGTGGGAATTCTCTATTCCAATGTTGTTAGGAATGATCTAGTTGTAATGGAATGCCTGACTATAGGGGAGAGAAAACAGACAACTGATCATGTTTTATAACAGTATTGCCCTTAGATCTGGTAAGGATCCTTCTCCAGCTGCAGAAGGCAAGGAGTCCATGAGGTCAAGTGGCCATGACTGTCTGGAGCCTGCATTTTCATTTAGACTGGTTAGATCTAAGGGTGGAGAGAGCTGCCGACTACACATCACTATGTACAGGAGCTGAGGGTATAAACATAAGATGGGACAATTTGGGTGTCTGCATTCATGGTCCCTTCTGGTGTGGTGGGTGAAGAAGGTGGGATGGGAAGAGAACTGGTATAGTCTGAGGACTCTAGAAGTCAGAAAGCTCTAAATTTAAACATGGCCTAAGAGAAAGAAAACAAACAAAAAATAAACATGATCTTCCAGATCATTATTTAAGTAGATTTATCAAGGTAGTAGAGTAGAATATATTTTTTATAATAGTTTGTTATCTTGATTTGTATCTTAAATATTTAGACATATGGTATTTGAGCTCTCACAGTCATACTGTTGCCTAGGCTCTGCAAATTTAGGGTCAGGCCTGGTAGAAGTATATAACAGTATAAAAGAATATAGTATTAGGAATAAGAAATTCACCCAGGTGAGAGTACACTTTATCTGGGTCCTTACAGAGTCAGATTTTCCAGACTTCTGTGCGGGAGATGAGAAAATAAACAGGGCAAGTTACCAGGCCACTACACTAATTATTTGAAACACTTTTCTGTATCTAGAGGGTCAACAATTAAGAAGATATTTTAACTGTAATAGTTTTGGTGAGATTTTGAAAAGCTTCTTGGATACACTATAAGTTTAGAGCCAGAGGAGACCTTAGTGATCACGTAATCATATTTATTCACTCAGCAAATAAGACAGAGGTTCTGACAGATGAAACCCTCTGACTGAGGTCTCAAGGCTAGTTGGTAGCAGATGATTTCCAGCCCCATTCACTCTTCCACCAGGGTTACTTTACAAGGAGGTATCTGCTGCCAGTCAATTCCAATAACAATTTTCATTTGCTTTCATTATGTATTTAAAAAAAAAGTAAATACCTTCATTACTTTAAAAAGTTTAGGCACCTAAAAAAGTTCTATAAATCAATACTAAAATTTGACTCCAAAAGAGTCTAAAATAAAAGCAATTAACAAAAAAGGAAAACCAAAATAATTCTAACTTCATGAGGTCACAAGAATTGGTAATCCTTCAAAGTTATTTTTAACTATTTTCCGTAAAGTTATAGGCAACTTAGGGCCTCTTTAGGACTCAAAATATACCCCCACTGGTCATCCCTGATTTGTCTACTTTTATTTTTACATCTATTCCTTTTGACTTTTTGATCTATCTAAGATCTTAAGGGTTAAATAAAAATCCTACTCCTCTTTTTGGTTGCAATGTGAACCATCTTCCCAAATTCCTTATTTCCTAAGCTAGAAACCAAAGCATATGTTTACAAAACATCGAACACTTAGGGTACTAACTAAACGTTAAAATAACACTTTAAAAATCATTTGAAAACATCTGTAAATATCGTTAACGGATTATTTTGGGGAGGGGCAGGCTAATATGAGTTATAATAGTTGTAGTAAGATTAAAATCGTTCAGGGTTCGATCACAAAAGTTAAAAATATTCTCCAGGTAGACTCTTACCTTCAAATCTGAAATTTCTAGGTTTGCAGGAAGTACATTACTCACAAAGCATTATAGTTGACAATTTTAGCAACAGTAACGTATCTTGTCAGGGCACAATGTGATTTTTTGTTCTTCCCCTCAATCGACTACTGAGTAACAGAAGGAAGGACTTAATTCCCGGCAAAATATCCTCAGTGATGAGCTCTGCGAAATTCGGTTCTCCGAGCGCGAAGAGTCAGGGATGGCCTCAAGGGACCCTAGAGAAGAAGGAAGAGAAAATGATACAAGACGATGTCGTCAAGGTAAAGAAGAGCACGACCTGGGCCGGAACAGATTTGGGGGTTCAGGGTTGCGTGTTCTTGCTGGATACTCACGGGGCACCTGAGTTCACACCGGCAAATGGAAGACCCTGGCCTCGCAGCTCTTTGGGCCACTAGCCCGCACCCCGCGGAGCTGTGACCTCCAAAGCCGGTCCGCTTGGAAATACCGCCTCCCCGGCTTCAGATTCGCACCTTTGATAGGCTCGAAGAAGGATCCCTCAGCGTGGCTCGCCCAATGGAGGGCCCGGCCGATGGCCCGGCCGCTCCGCCCCCTCCCCGCCCTTCGCGGAGGGTCCGCCCCCCCCCCACCCCCCCCGCTCCCGGGAGCCGAGAAGGGTAAATACAACAGGAGCGCAAAATGGCGGAGCCACCGAGCCCAGTGCGCGGTTCTGCGGCTGCCGCCGTGGCCTCGGAGAACGAACCGTTTGGCAAGCTACAGACTCCCTCCCGGGAACCACCGGGTCCTCTGTCCGCCAAGAAGGTCCGGACTGAGGAGAAGAAGACGCCGCGCAGACTGAACGGGGAAGGAAGCAGCGGCGGGAACTGCAGGCAGCTGCAGCCGCCCGTGGCACCTCCGCCTCAGAGCTATGGCAGCCCGGGGTCTTGGAGCTTCGCCGCTCTGTCTGCTGCCCCCTCGCCGTCCTCTGCTCGGGGCACTTTTTCTTTCACCTCTGGCACAACCATCCCCTCCTCGGCCTCCGCCTCTTCGCCGCAGCCAGTGCCGCGCAAACTGCTGGTGCCTCCTGCGCTGCTGCACGCTCAGCCTCACCATCTCCTGTTGCCGGCCGCCGCCTCGGCCAGCGCCAAGGCGCGCAGACCCAAGGAGAAGCGAGAGAAGGAAAGGCGGAGGCACGGCCTCGGCGGGGCCGCCCGGGAGGAGAACGGGGAGGTGAAGCCGCTGGCGAGAGGTGGGTGCCGGCGGCGGGAGGGCGTGGGGAGGGCGCCCCAGTGCCCTCCACCCCCTCGCGCCCGCGGGGCCCGATCTGGGGGAGCGCGGAGGCCGCGTGCGCAGCCTGGAGGGGGCGGGAAGCGCCTGGTTCTCCGCGGGCCATTTTACAGCCCCCGCGGGGGCAGGAAATGAAGCCTGCAATTTCGGTCTTAGCGAGGGGAATGGCCGAAACTCTTATTTTCTGTATCGTTTCTGGCACCCAGTTAGTGCACTACAGGATTCATAGAATTCGGTGTAGAGGACCCGCCTTGGTGTGTTTGGCTACCGAGGGAGATGGGAGGGAACGGAACCGGGAAGGATTTGGTCTTGTAAAAGATGCTAGACCGTTTAGACGTGATCACGGAATTCATTTGTGAGACGGGCTCCAACGCTAGAAAATCCTTTAAAAAAAAAAAAAAGGGTGGGTGGAGAGCATTGGCGTCAACTGGAAGCTACCAGAGGCCTGAGCTTTTCATATCCCTATTAGGGAAATGAGGTAGTGTGCAGGGCCCGACGTGTGCTGTTTTATAAGGTACCCTCCCTCCTCCCTCCTCTCGCTCAGTATTCTTAAGTGTTTTGAGTGGTCCTGTTTGAAATACCACCCTTCAGAAAGAATTTGCAGCCATATTCCTTTTTCCTGCAGCAAATGCTAAAATCAAGAGCGTTGACGTTGGCCAGATCAAGTGGCTGCAAAATGTTTTAGCATCAGAAAAAGGCAAATTTTTAAGCGTCCTTTTCAGACGCGGCTAGACAGTTTACTTTTAGTATATAGATTAATCATATAGTTTTCAGAAAGTAGTTCTTTAAAGTAGATGGTGCTCTCTAGTTAGCTATGGATGATCTGACAGTGAATGGTACATCCTGGAGACTCGTTGAAATGTAGATCTTTATGTGATCAGAAGCTTCAAGCACATAATGATCTGTATAACGTATATTGATACACAGTTTTATTTGTTTTTTAGGAAAATGAAATGTCAAGATGTTTTAGCGTTGCTCATAGAATGGTAGCATCGATCAAGTGAAAAATTCTCTGTGTATTTGACTTAGGACCGCTGTTTTCACAATATTTAAAAATGTTGTAGGGTGTGCAGTAACCGTTTACTTCTCCTTGATGTTTTGCCTGTAGTAAAGCTTTGGCATTTAAGCCTAGCCGTCAGGTACTCTGGTAACTCGTCAAGATCTCTCAGCTTTGCAGAAAGTGTTGCTTGGAACAGTCGTTTTGAGGATGGCATTTATACTACTTTTAGTATGGAAGTTTAGGTGGTTACTATTTAAAAAGCTACTTTGTTTTAATGGTTACATTTAAGTTACAAGTGCCTGAAGTCTCTGCATTTGCAGCTTGTCTATCAGCCTTAACCTGTGATATGTAAACAATGTATTTGTTCTTCTCAGTTCTTTAAGGAAGTAAAATAGGAGTATAACATTATCGGTGTATTGGAATGCTGAAAATAAATTTCTTTAACAATTCTAACTTAAAATTTGGAGCATAGAAATGGCCCTTAAAGTGAAATGGCCGTTAAGAGGATTTTCTCTGGTCTTTTAAATTACATTTAGAATTCTTTTGAAGACAACTGCTTACATTATTAAGCTTGAATTTAAGCATTGATAACTTTTCATTAAGATGTGGGGAAGGTGTTTTTCCTTGACCTGTGCAGGTTTTTTTGAGTAGTGAGTAGATTTTAACAATATTAAAGATTTTCATTTTTTTTGACAGAAATGCTGCTATTTTCTTGACAAAAATTAATCAAAGAGAAGGATTGTTTTTCATTGTCTTGATGGTAAATTTAATGGTGAAAATCTTTCCTTTTAATTTGAGAAATACAACAAACCTGAAGTTCAGGTTTAACTGAATTGAGGTTCTGTTTTAATCAAGATTCTTCAGCAACAGTTGTATTAAAATAGCAAGATTATGTACATATATTCAATATAGATATAATTGCAAATATAAAAGTCCTAATTTGCAATAGAGTTCTCATTTCTCTGGGCTTTTTGTAAAAAAAAGTCTTAGTGAATGGATGACCAAGTGCATGTTGTTTTACATATACGTCTTTTTAGTGTTACTCTGAGTTGGATACTTTATGTGATGGACATAGGTTAGTTCAGTGACTCTCAGTTGTCATTGATTGAACAATCGGAATTAGAGCCAGAAATTAACTATACATCTTTGCAAGGAAAATAGATCCTTTCCTAGAAAAACAGAAACAGACAGATCGAAAAGATCCAGTCCCCTAACTCCATTAAGTAGTTAAGCTCCTGTATTTATTCATACTGTTTTTTTTGTTTAAACTAAAGCTGCTAAATTTTGACATTGACTACCATTCTAACAAATCATTTGGATTAAATGAAAGTGAGAATGATACGGCTTGGCAGGTCATAAATGTTATTTGAGTCAGAAGCATGATGATTTATCTTTTTTTAGACCATAATAATTAAAAGGTGGGTCAGTACAGATAGAGGAAGACTCGTTGATACTAGATGTCAAAGTTAAGAGTGATGAACAGGAGAATTATAAAAGCATACTAGTCTAGGCCCATTTAGTATGACGGTTTATGCCTTACACACCTAAAACCTCTGAGGCCATCTAATCAACTGTAGCTGAATTGCATGATAGCCTTAGTCATCAAGAAAAAAATCAACCTTATTTCCTATAAAAAGAAAAAAGTACAAAACATTTTTGGATTTTTAAAAATAGAAAATAAGTAGGTTTCGGTGCTTACAGAGGTAATTGCCTAATTCACAGACCATTTTCCTGAAAGGTTGAATAAATTATTAAATTGGTAAATGTGGAAGGTAAACGTGGACATGTACTGAAGGTATACAACATTTAGAATTATAGCACACAATGGAACAAACATATTATTAGATAACAAAGTGCCTTAACTGATTCCAGTAATCACTGAAACTTGTATAGATCATCTAACTTTGTTAGTGTTTTTACTTAGCATTTATTATTTTTTTCTCTCAGAATGACTCTTGAAGTTTCCCAAGATAAAACCAAAGCATTTCACCGAATTTTTGCCTTGAAAATGTAGTTATAGAATTTAAGTCTATTGAAAATAAAGCCTTTTCTTAGAATTGAATAATTCGAGGTATGTAAATGTCAGTGATTTTAAAGGTATAGATGTTTGAAGATTTTTTTCAAACTGCACTTTCCCACATCTTTCTAATATTCCACAGTTTCAGGTTAAATTTGTATTCTGAGTTTTGATCATTATGATTAAATGTTTGTCACTACTGAGACAGTAGTTTATTAAAATTGCATTTCTTTTTGTAACCTTTTGTTTCTTCATATGTTTAGTTTTGTCTGGCAAAGTCTTTCTATGCCCTCCAACAACTCCATAAAATACTTCACAGTACAATTTTTCACATGGTCAAATCTGTCAGATAAATTAATCAGTTTCATTTGTTCCTGTAATCATCTCTTCTGTAGCTGTCCTTCCTGCTTCAGTCTGGATTGTTTTTCCTCTAGGCCTGCTTACAAAGCTGTCATTTTGGAACTTCCCTTAGCTGACATTCTGGGAATTTCTTTCACTTTTGTTGAGCCCTTTTCTCCTGGATCCTATGCCTACCTTTCGATTTATTCCTTCATTTTGGTTTCCTCTACTATTACTGTTGAAAGAGTGCAGGGTAAATATATTTGGGGGATTTTGTTTTTATCCTCATACTTGACTGTTTTTTGGCTGATGAGAGATTTCTGTACAGGAAATAATTTTCCCTCGAAAGTTTGAAGGGGTTCCCTTATTGCCTGGCTTCTGTTGTGGATGTTGTGAAATTTGATGTGAAAATTTACCTTTTGTTCTAGTCTGGGAGATTTCACCTCTTTGGTTGAAGTGAACAATTTCAGCTATCCTAAGAAAAAAGTTTATTCCTGTATTGTAGCATCTTGTTCCTATTTTATGGGTGCTGCATCTTTTGTTATCTCTTCAAGGGTATTAATTATAGATCCTCTGACATGTTCTTCTGTTCCTTGCATGTTTTAGTTCCACTAACTTTTTTTGTTTATTTTGGTCTTTTTGTTGGAGACTTTCTTTAGATCTGTGTGATTCTTAACAGTTGATTCATAGTGAGAAAAAAGTTCTATAGCTAATTGGAAGCTCTGGGCATGCATGAGCATGGCTTAGTGACTAATGAAGTCCCATAGTTTTTTTTTTTTTTAAATTTAAGTAATCATTGATATACAGTCTTATGTTGGCTTCAAATATACAACACAGTATTTCAATAGTTACCCATATTATTAAATGTTCATCCCCTGTAGTGCAGTTACTATCTATCAGTGTAGAGAGATGTTGATTATATTCTCCATGCTGTACTACCATGTAAGGTGACCAACTTACATTATGATAGAGAATTTTTGTGCCCTTTATTCCTCTCACACTCCCTGCCTACCCACCTCAGCCCCTCCCCATAGTAACTACTAGTTACTTCTCAGAGTCTGTGGGTCTACTTCTGTTTTGTTTATTCTGCTTTGCTTTGTTTTTATATTCCATAAATAAGTGAAATCATAAGGTATTGTCTTTCTCCACCTGGCTTATTTCACTGAGCTTAATACCCTCAAGATCCATCCTTGTTGTTGCAAATGGCAGCATTTCTCTTTTTTTTTAAATGTATAAATAGTATTCCACTGTGTATATGTACCACATCATCTTTAACCATTCACCTTTTGATGGACACTTAGGTTGCTTACATAACTTGGCTCTTGTAAATAATGCAGCAGTAAACATAAGGGTGCATATATCTTTTTGAATCAGGAATTTTCTTTTCATTAGATAAATTCCTAGAAATGGAATACTGGGTCAAATGATATTTCTGTTTTTAGTTTTTTGAGGAACCTCCATACTGCTTTGCATGGTGGTTGCACCAATTGACATTTCCCTCAACAGTGTAGGAGGGTTCCCATTTCTCCACATCCTTGCCAACACTTGTTATTTCTTGTCTTTTGGATAGTGACCATTCTAAGTCGTGTGAGGTGATACCTCAGTG